GTCTGCTTATCTACCTCACCAAGAGGTTACAGAAGATTAATTAGCCACAAGCTTTCACATTTTAGAATCCCCCAGAGGGAAGCATAAAGCAGCAATCTTTCTGGTTCCTGTTGCTGCCTCTCAGTTTTCCAATAACGAAATGATTTTCACTATTGTATCACTAATGAGCTGAAGAATGAGAACAAAATGAGTTTCAAATGTTAGGTGGCTCATAATGTTGTCACCAGAAATTAAAATAGAGAAAAACGCTAATTATAGCAACAGTGCTTAGAATTTATCTACCCCGTGAAAGAACCTAGCAAATATAGCCTCATCATTAATATTTTATTTGTACATGTAATGTCATTTTGTAATGAATCTTCAGGTCGGTATATTGAGCAAGCAGGATAAACAATTTACTTAAAATGTGGGAAAATCTGTGTCTTAGAGACTCTGGACATCGGTACTAGTATTATTAGTTTCCATCACATACCTGGGGCTGATTTAACTTGAAATGGGTGAGGCATCACTACAGCCCTGGTGTAACCTATAGCTGAGCTTTGTCAGGGGACGCAAAATAGGAGCCCTTTAAACTTGGCATTGAACCTTCTGGTTTCCTCAGTATTTCCAGTGCCACTTGGAACCTAGAAAATATATGGGTCATCACATCTGCCCTGGACAGCAATCTCTTGTTTGAATGGGAAGTCCATGACTTGAGTGAACTTCTCTGTTCACTGAGTGGAGAAAACACAAACCATCTCTTCGCTGATGGCGAGGCCCCTCCTGGGTGGCCCCTTTTCGGTCCCCTCTCGTATCCTCAGTGGAAAGCACATGCTGATCCCAGTGAACACAGGACTCTGCCTCCTTCACACAGGGAGTCTGCAGAGATTTACAGCTTGGTCATTACCCTACCAAGCCACAGCTCTGATTCCCTCCAGGACGGAAAGGGGAGAAGGGGGTCCTCATAGCTTGGATTAAGGAGGCCCATCGCTGGCTCATGGGTTACTTTTCGAAATGGCATCTTCAGGAAAGTGAAACGGCTGCTCAGGTTTTCTGATTGGGGACTTGTTCTCACTTGGTGCTTCTCGAAAATGCGAAGTTAAATGTGACCGTTCTGTTCATGGGAATCGAGATTGGTGTAGAGGAAGAGGACACTGCAGTATTTATGGCCTTCAGTGGTCAAAATTGATCCAGTTGAGAACTATGACCATGAGCTTGCGGCAAAGGGTCCACTCCTAGCAATTCATTTCCCTTTGCCCTTCCCACTAAATGCTGATTCGGGTGTTGTATGGGTGTGACTCTCTTGAGTGGTGAAACCGGTGCCCCTCACTCTTGACCCATCTCGGCACTTAGGTGTTCAGAAGACCAACCTCTAAAGGTTCCCGAAGAAGGACTGGTACCAGCGCTAGGATTTCAGTCCTGCGCTCAGCACCTGTCGGGTCCTCACCCTTGGGACATCCCTGTAAAGTTTCTAAGAATCAGGCAGTTCTTCTCTGAAATGAAAATGAAGGATGATCCCATCTGTTTGTCATCATTAGATGTGAACATGTATGTAAAGGCACTTAGATACATATGAAATATTGTGTAAAAGTAAAGAATTGGTTTTGAGCTTTGATTTCTTCAAAGGTATTTATGTGTAAAAGGCTGTCTTACGCAGATACAACTTACATGTGTGTAGAAAGCCTTCACCAACACGTCAGGGGACTTGGATATTTTATAATATTGTCTGCGCAATGACTAGCCTTGTTTACTTAGTGACTGTTTGTTGAGTACCTACTATGTGCCGGGGATTTTCTAGGTGCTGAGGATAAAGTAGTGAACAGGACAGACAAGGCCTTTGCCCTTACATGGTGTTTACCTTCTGAGGTTGTGGAGGCAGGGGAAGAAACACCATACATATAAACAAGTAAGATGATTTCAGATAGTGGATGTGCTCTGGAGAAAGTAAGACACACCACGCACTAGGGAGTGAATGACATAATGAGAATGCATCAGTCACGTGAGGACCTGGGAAAA